CCAGGCACCACGAGACCCAGAGAGGGAGGCCCCTGTGGAGCGGGCCAACCAGGGGATTTCAGCAAATGGGAAAGGGCCCTCGCCCAGCTCTGATCCCGTTCTTGCCAAAGCTGGTTTACACACCTCCAGGGACGAGCAGCTCACTACTCCCAACTCTTTCCACTGTTGGAACATCCTCCTTCAGGTTAAGCCAGACTCTACCTCCCTGTCTAGCCCTCCTCCTCAGGACCCCAGAGAAACAGCTCCCTCTTGGCTAAATGTCTGAGGACAACACTCAAAAGCCCCAGGTATAACAGGGTGCCTGTGAGCTGCCCGGGCAGGGGTTCAGCAGTGGGCAGCCCTAGGGAGGCCAAATGGCAGAGGCCCAGGGTCAAGTCTCCACTCTGCTGGGCCCCACTTTCTCTTCCTGTAAGATGGGCGAGCTGTGTGGGCTTCAGCGACAGATGTGAGAGCTGGGATAAGGGGCAGCTGTCAAGAGGCCAGACAGGAGGGTCAAGTCCCTCACCCCTCCTCCCAACCCCGTACCTTCCTCTGGATGGGGGTCGGCACCTTGTAGCCCTTCTTCATGATGCCCTTGAACACTGGGTAGCTCAAGCCTGGAAAAGACACAGGAATGGCCAGGGCGCTGGGGGCACCCACCCCACCACACACAGAAAACTACACACGCCAACGACTATTTCATCAACAAGGAAACAGCAAGAGAAAAAGAAAAAGGATAAAGCAAAACTGGTAGATTGAGACTTAAGAGAGAAATTTAGGGGGCCGGCCCAGTGGCGCAAGTGGTTAAGTGCGCACGCTCCGCTACGGCGGTGCGGGGTTCGCCGGTTCGGATCCTGGGCGCGCACTGATGCACTGCTTGTCAGGCCATGCCGTGGTGGCGTCCCATATAAAGTGGAGGAAGATAGGCGCAGGTGTTAGCCCAGGGCCAGTCTTCCTCGGCAAAAAGAGGAGGATTGGCAGATGTTAGCTCAGGGCCGATCTTCCTCACAAAAAACAAACAAAAAGAGATAACTTTACCGACTGTGGGGTATGAATCTTACATGGATTCTGGTTTGAACACGCCCTTAAGGCCAGGAGACAAGTGGGGTCTGAATGCTGACGGGTCTCGGAGAGTACTGAGACGCTGTGTGTTCGTTTTAGGGGAAGTCAGGGCCTGCGTCTCTTGGAGGTGCGTGGGGAGTGTTCACGGATACAGGAGGTCTGGGATCCACTTCAGAATCCTCCGGGATGATGGGGACAAGGGGGAGGGGCAGGGAGAAAATGTCTGGGGCCTCCGTCTAACCCGGCACCGACCACAGTGCCTGGCCCAGAGCAGACACCACCCCAGAGCACAGAGGGCACGACGACCCCCTGCCACTACTCCCCCAAGTCCTGGGTGCCTGGCTCACCCACCCATGGACTGGAAGCCTCCCGACTTCTTCTTCTTCTTGTTCTGGGCTCGCACCATCTCCCGCGTGTCCGGCTCCACATCAGAGTTGCATTCTGAGGTGGGGAAGGTGGGCAGGGGTCGGCCAGGTCCCAGCTGGGAGGGAGGAACAGAGACAGCGTCACTCCAGCACAATCATACCCCTGGGGAGACGGGGGCTGTCCTGTTGCCGGTCTGCCCCCATTCAAGCCAATGACGCTCCTGCCAGATCACACGACTTCTCCGCTAAAGGGCTCTCCTTTGACTCGGCCAGGACAGGGCAGAGGGTCGGCGAGTGGGCTCTGCGTAGACGGCCTGGCTTCCACTGGGTCACTTACCAGCTGTGAGACCTCAGGCAAGGGACTCAGTCTCCCTGAGCCTGTGTTTCCACATGTGGAAAACGGGGAGGACAGGAGCATATGCCTCACGGGGTGTCGTGAAGACTAAATGGCTAAGTGCAAAGCTGAGACCGGGGCCCAGTGTCATCATCACCATCATCATCATCACCACCATCGTGGCCTGTCACTCACAGCCTCAAAATTAAAAACTCCAGGGGCCGGCCCCGTGGCTTAGCGGTTAAGTGCACGTGCTCTGCTACTGGCGGCCCGGGTTCGGACCCCGGGCGCACACCGACGCACCGCTTCTCCGGCCATGCTGAGGCCACGTCCCACATACAGCAACTAGAAGGATGTGCAGCTATGACATACAACTATCTACTGGGGCTTTGGGGAGAAAAAGGGAAAAAAAGGAGGAGGATTGGCAACAGATGTTAGCTCAGGGCTGGTCTTCCTCAGCAAAAAAGAGGAGGATTAGCATGGACGTTAGCTCAGGGCTGATTTTCCTCACAAAAAAAAAAACTCCAGAGAGCCAATCTAAACATCTACTATGTGTGAGAGACTAGACTTTTCCAAGCTGCCCTGCCCCCCCATCCCCTTTCTGACCCATCGCCCCTCCCCAACTCTGGCTCTCTCGCGCTGGCCTCCGTTCTGCCCTTCCAGGACCCACCTGTCCTAGCACAGCCAACTCCAATCCAGACACCACCCCTGGGGAGCCTTCTCAGATTACAGGGCTGTCCCTTTCCTCTCAGAAATAACAGTTACGGAGCACTAATTCACAATAACGCACAAAACGTTCGTGATACTTACCATAAGCCAGTGCTGCTCTGAGCATTCATATAAATTAACCCCCTTAACCCTGACGACAACCCTGTGAAGTAGGTACTATTATTTAGTCCATTTTACAGAGAAGGAAAAGCACAGAGAGGTCCAGTGACCTGCCCAAAGGCACATAGCCAGCAAGTGGGGGATCAGGGACTTGCACCCTGGCTTCAGAGTCTATGTTCTTTCCATTGTGACCCTCTGTGGTCCATTACAACCGTGTAGGTCAGGGCTGCAGCCTGTCTACTACAGCTCGTGAGCTAAGAATGGTTTTTGCATTTTAAAGACTGTAAAAAATCAAACACAGGAGACAGTGTGACCTCATATGGCCCCTGCAAACCCTAATATTTACCATCTGGTTCTTTCCAGGAAAAGTTCACCAACTTCTGCTCTAGACACATGAAAACAAAGGGCCTGGAACATGTTGGTGCCCCGGCAATATTTACTGAACGAGCAGAACGTAAGAACACTGTTATTGATTCCTTTCAACAGTCTTTGAGGCACATATAATCATCTGCCTTCTATACATGTGGAAACTTCTGCCTTCCACAGATGTGGCACAGAGAGGTTAAGCAAGTTCTCCAACATCCCACAGCCAGTACCGGGTTGGGGCAGATTTGAACACAGGGCTGGGCCGACCCCGTGGCTTAGCGGTTAAGTGCGCGCGCTCCACTACTGGCAGCCCGGGTTCGGATCCCGGACGTGCACCGACGCACCGCTTCTCCGGCCATGCTAAGGCCGTGTCCCACATACAGCAACTAGAAGGATGTGCAGCTATGACATACACCTATCTACTGGGGCTTTGGGGGGGGGGATAAATAAATAAAATTAAAAAAAAAAAAAGAACATAGAGCTGCGCCAGGGCAAAGCCCCTGGTCTGAGCCACACAGACGGGCTGCTCTCTGGTACTTTCTACCTCTGCCTTCCTATGCTGTTCATTACCTTTAGCAATTTCTCCACATCTATAGAGCACCCACTGTGTGCCAGACACTGGCTGGGTTAGGGCGGGCAGGCAGCAGAATAAGGTCCCGTCTGGCCCCTGCCTTGGAGGAGCATGGATCCCTCTCTTCATATAAACGCCCACTCTTTCATCTGCTTACCCGGGGCCTCCTCTGTGCCAGGCACCGCTGGGCGCAGGGCTGTGGGGAACAGTGGCTCTTTCGCCCTTTTGGTCATCTGCATACAGCTGGCACCCAGCAACGGACATAGCACAGGCCTTGGAAACAGCACGGAGTTTGAAACCTGGCTCTCCCACTCACAAGCTGTGAGGTCTTGGTCAAGTTTCTGAGCCCCTGCGGGCCTCAGTTTCCTTCTCTGGGGAAGGAGGAAGACAGAACTGGGCTCACAGGGCTGGTGTGCGGATTAAAGGATAAGGCTTGGAAAGCTCTCAGCACGGGGCCTGGCACGTAGGAAGCGGTCAACAAACGCAAGCTTAATTTACGTATCGTTACTCTCCCAGAGGTTTGGGGGCGTCACTGTCTCAAGCCACCGGGTCTGGCCTCCCCTTTATCCAACCTGCCAAGAACGCCGCAAACTCTCCAAGTCCGCTCTGCGGCACCCGCACTTTTCATTGGACGGATGGGCACTAGGGCCCGCCCCCCGGCAGGAGGCAGCCAATGAGGGGCGCGCGACCGCACGCCGGCAGGAAGGGCCGCAGGCCTGGCCCCCGGAGAGCGGAGGCCCGGCCGCCAGGAGTGTGCGGGCCCCGAGACACGTGCTCGGGCCGGCGCCTCCCCCCGCCCGCGGCCGGGCCCGGCCTCCAACGGGCGTCCCGGCCCCGCTCCCACCTTCTGGGCCCGGGCGTCGTCCTCCTCCTGGACCTCAAACTCGCCGTCCTCCGAGTCGCTGCTGCGGGCCTGGGGGGCCGCGCCCCGGCGCCGCCGGAGCCCCTTCTTCTTCCTCCGCTGGGCCATGGCCGCGCGGGACCGAGGTCCGGGCGCCGGGCGCGTGCCGGCCGCCATGCGGGCCGGCGCAGGAGTGGGGGGCGGAGCCTGCGGGGCGAACCAACGGCGCGGGGGGTCCGCGCGCCCCGGCTGCGCCTCCCACTCCGCAGCCCCCGGAGGGGAGGCACACAAGCGCTCAGACGCACACACACGCCCCCCCTGACGGGCGAGAGGCCCCTCTCCGCGGCTTTGGGGGAGTCCGGGGGCGTCCGGAACGGGGCGTCCTCCCCCCCGGCGCGAATGGTTCGGGCCGCGCCGCCCCGCCTCCGCTGGTTGCTGTTGGCTGCGCGCGCCGGGCGCACGTCGCTAGGGCCTGGCGGCCGGGTGGCGGTGCGCGCGGGGTGTCCGGGCGGGGGCCGGGGCCGCCTGACCTGCCGGGGGTCCTGGGCTCCAGATTACCTGCGGTCTCGGATGCACCGCGCGCCGCGGGGGTCCGTGCGCCCCCGCAGAGGAGTCCAGGCCTGGTGGGGAGGGGGCGCTGAAGGTTGCGTCTTACGTCCTGGAGCCAGAATGCTCAGGTAGGAAAATAACTCAAGAATGCAGGTACCTCGGACGTCAGCCGACTGGGGGATCGGGGAATATGGGGCGGGGGCGGCGGCGTGATCCCCCAATAGTAGAATGCTTAAATGCACAAATTGTGGACTCCTATCAGGTTCAAATTCCGCTTCCACTGTTTTAGCCTTATAGGTGTGATCTACACATGTGACTTCACTGTTTGAAGCCTCAGTTTTGTCATTCGCAGAATGGACATAATCTAAGCTACTTCATGGGACTGTTGGGAGGATTAAATGAGACAATGCTTGTAAAGCTTTTTGCTCGAGGTAGGCATGGGATGGATCCGGGTTATTATTCCCGCCTCATAAATATTTACGGGACATAGAGACCGGCCTGTCTCTCCCTCCCCATAGTTTATTCGTTTTCTGGTTGGTACCAGAATGGGCACAAGCCCCATCTGCCCTTCATCCCTTACCATTCTGTAAATATTTGTTGAGCACACGGTGTGTGTTAGGAGTGCATATTTACTCACTAAATATTTGCTGCTCGCTCCACTCCCCCCCTCACTGTGACAATTAAGAACAGTTGAACAAATTTCTGAAATGTCTCCTGGGGTTGGCAGCTCCCCTTTGAGAAGGGCTGGTTGAGGGAGGACCTGAGCCTTTTGCCCTTGGGATGGGGACTTAGGAGACTGCCAGTCTTCCTCTGCTGGCACTGCCGGTGACGAGGTGCCACCCGGACCCCCTTTCACAGGGAGCCCTGGAGGCAGGGCCTGGCGGGCAGAGCTCGCCCGCTGTCCCCTGGGACCACGGGCAGCATGAAGACCCCCGTGGAGCTGGCCGGCAGCAGGATGCAGACCCTCCACCTTCAGCCCCGCTGCCGGGGCAGCTGCCGGGTCAAGGCCAGGCCGTCGTATGTGGATGAGACTCTTTTCGGCAACCCTGCGGGCACCCGGCCCACCCCACCAGACTTTGACCCACCCTGGGTGGAGAAGGCCAACAGAACCAGAGAAGCGGGCACAGGAATATCACGACCCTCGGGCGCCAACCCGAGCTGTGAGACCACCTCCTCCAGAGGCAGCACCCCGACCCTTACACCAAGGAAGAAGAACAAGTATAGGTAATGGGGTGGGGAGATGCACTTCTGTAGTCAGTGCAGCCACCTGGGTTCCTGTTACAGCCCTGCTGTTCACATGCTGTGTGACCTTGGGCAAGCACCTTAACCTCTCTGAGCTGCGCTTTCCTCATGTGGAAAATGGGGTCCGTGATCCCTACCTAGTGGGATTATTGAGAGGATTACATGAGATGAGGTGTATACAGTGCTTGACACAGTACTGACATCCAGGAAGCTCTCAATAAATGGTAGTAATGACGTGGTGGTGGAATACCCATCCCCAAATGTCACAGACGGGGCGTCTGAGGCCCAGAGGGGTCAGGTATTTGCCCCATATCACAGAGCAGTTTGCATAAGATTACTAATGTGGTGGATCCATGAAATGACATAGAAGTGGTGGTTCCAGATATCAGCAAGTCATTTTGAAAATGGGTCTTTGTGCATTTTCATGAATAAATTAGAAAACTAGGAGCCGATGCTAATAGTTATTGTTGTCAGGTAATTAGATCAGAATTATATTATTTGGATTATTTCAGATTAATATCACCCTGGAGGGAGGTGTCTCATGGTGGGCCACAGGGCTCTATCCCATTTATTGTTATCAGTGGTTTGGGCAAGGACACAGAGAACTGGTATGTTAGTCAGTTAGGGCTGCCATAACAAAATACCATAGCCTGGGGGGCTTAAACAACAGAAATTTATTTTCTCGCAGTTCTGGAGTCTGGAAGTCCAAGATCAAGGTGCCAGTAGGGTTGGTTTCTCTTATGGCCTTTCCTTGGCTTGCAGACGGCTGCCTTGTCACTGTGTCCTCACGTGGCCTTTTCTCTGTGCACGTGTGCACTCCTGGGGTCTCTTCCTCTTGTAAGGACATCAGTCCTATTGGATTAGGGCCTCACCCTTATGACCTCATTTAACCTTAATTACCTCTTTAAAATTCAACATGAATTTTAGGAGGACACAATTCATTCCATAACAACTGGCCAGTCAAAGGTAGGAACCATTCTGAGGCAGGAGGGACATACGTTATTCGAGAGAAATGACAGTGGGAATGGGGCCAATTAAAGGACATAAAATTCAGCAAGATAAACGCAAGACTCCGTTATTATCACGTCAGGTTGAGGGCGATGTGCCTGACAGTTTCCATGGACCCCCGGCAGGGTCAGGTTGACGTTAGCAGTACTGACACCTACAACACAGCTGGAAACGCTGATATAAATGTAGGCTGCATTAACAGAAGTATGGTGTCCATGACAGGGGAGGTGACAGTGAACCCCCTGCTCACCTGGAGCATGGAATTTTGTTCTGGGTGCTGACAAGTAGAGGATGTCAAGTGAGAGAGGAGGTAGAGATGTTGTTGAACAAAAATTTGGGTGCTAGACAGACACAGGCGTCAACCAGATATGGTTTAGCAGTTAAACCAAGTGGCAAAATGTTGACTTTTCAAAGGCTTGCAGTTTGGGGATGCACTTTCCTTCCTGGCCGAAAACCGTGGGCCTGACACCTCATGGGTGTGCCATAAATATTTGTGGGATTAATAAAAAATAATTGCTGAATGAATCTAATTAAAGCTGAGAGGCCTAGAAGGTGCGTAGTCTGATTTACTGGTTGAGAGCTTGGGTCCCTAAGCCTGGCTGGATTTGAATCTCTACTGCCTTCTTGCTGTGGGGCCTTACCCTACCTATGCTCAGTTTTCTTGCCTATAAATGGGATTATCACATCTCACTCCTGGGAGTGTTATGAGAAATAATGAGATCATGCACGTGACATGCTGAGTCCAGGGCCTGCCCATGAAAAGCTCTCAGGAAATAGTTATAGTTTTACAGAGCTTCTCTGGTGGTGAGGCCAGGCGGCTTTATAACAGAAGTTGAGCCCTCTCTGCCTGCCAGGAACTGTGCTGTGCAATTTCAGATTCACTCGGGAGGGCCACAGACTGCAGAGGGTTCAGCTGACGAAGCTGCTGGGAAAAAGGAAAGTGGTGGGTACCAGAAAAAGGGAAGGCTGTGAAGACTAAGGTTATATTAATCGGGACTCTCCTGGTTGCAAGTGACGGAAAACTTACCCAAACTGGCTTCAGCAGAGAAAGGGCGTTTGGGGCTCATCTAACGGGCTCAGACTGTCGTTGGGATTCTGTCGCATCTTAGCACAGTTCACCCCCGCACACTTCAGGTGAGGCCGCCACCAGCTGCTTTGCCCTCACGGCCTACCCACTTATCAAGGCTGGTGGCAGAAAGACTTCTCTTTCCTAGTAGTTTCAGCAGACGTTCTAAGGCAGACTCTCATTGGACAGATGGGTTATGTGGCCATTCCTGAGCCAATCGGTGAGGCCAGGGGGTTGGAATATGCAAATTGCGGGGACCTGCCAGGGAATGGGGGTCAGGATGCAGGGGGACTGGAGGCTTGGCAGGGGAAAGACAGCAGAGATGGGGGAGTGGTAGATGGGAGGGCTGTGGCCTCACTGGGTGCCTGCCTGGGAGCAAGGACTTCTGGGATCTAGGGGCAGGCCTCTCTGCTGCTGTGGGTGC